TTTTGGGAACGTTGGGCAAAGTTGACTTGCATGATGGAATAAAATTAAGAAGCACAGGCGCTTTCCTTTTGTGGATTGGCAAGTCCAGAAGTTTCTTCGAATCCTTGCTGGTAACAAAGGATTGGCGAAAATTTTTCGGTGGCTGACGAACAGCTGCAAGAAGAACCAACGTCAAAAATAGACAAAGTATTTAAGACTTCGAAAGAAAATAGGCAAAGCTGAATACTAGGCTCTTACCCTTACCCTCTAAAACTGATCGGGGAAGAGGGTAGAGATGGATGTCCTCATTTGGAGCAAACTCCCAATTTCTCGAGATAATAAGATAGTCGTCTCCAGCCCCCTTGTTGGAGTCTGGGAGGTCGGCTACGATTTTGAATTTTGTAGACCTCGGCTTAAGGTAATAAATGTAGCCTTTTTCTTTCAAATTAAGGGCGCACATGGTATAGCAGTACTGGATATCGGCTAGGGTGATCCTTGCATTTTCCTGTTTAGCTATGGCTATGACACCAAAGATCACTCGATAGGAATTGATTGCCAGCTGCATGGGGTTCAACTTATAATAGTGAAGAATCTCGCGAAAAAGGATGTTGAGTGGGAGCCGGAGTCCGCACTCAGTAAAAGCTACAATAGGAAAGGGCATGGAGTTTTCTGTAGGCATGATGGAGTCATTATCCCTGGCCAGCCTCAGATGGACATCGGCAGGGATGGAGAACTCTTGCCTAAAGTACTCAAGTTTGGTCGGGGTATCTACCCTATGTCTTCACATACCCATGATATCGGCCTGAATAAGAAGGGTTGGAATTCAGAAAGAAGATATTTCTTGTTGATGGGACCTCGGCAAAAACCTAGGTTTGGGCTGGTACAGAAATTTGTAAGGAATGTTTCAGTTTTGCCCTAAATCGTGGGTTCTACAAACAAATTCCAAACCTAAAACTATGGAGATGAAGATCAAAGACACAGATCTGGAAAAGACACAAAAAACAAAAAGCAAGAATAGAATTTCAGAATCAAGAACAGAGATGGTTTATCAAGAAGCATAAAAGGATACAAGAAATACAGGGCCAAGATTAGTGACAAAGATACCGGGAAGTAGTGAAACAATGCGTGTGTTCAAGATATGGGCAAAGGCAAAATCATGGAAAGGACACATTCAGGTGTATGAATTACAAATTAAAAGTTTCAACAGATGCAGTAAAGGCAACAAGTAATGAAGAATATCAACAGAATTGAAAACGAAAGGAACAGTAGCTTACTAGAAAAGCATGAAGCCGGTATGAAGATTGTCGAAATTCGATGATGGTTGCAGGAGTAACAGAATAGCGAAAAATTCACCAGAAAGACGAAATGAAGACAACTGCAGAGCTTGAAGCTTGAGCAACAGCAGATTCAAAAGAAAGAGTATAGAGAGAGAAAAAGCAAAAGAAGTCATATGCAAAAGTGGAAAAATGAAGAAAGGGGGAAAGGTTTTGTCAAAAATAAAAACGGCGTCAGAAAATAATCAACATGCCTAGAAGAACGTATACGTCAGACGGCGCACGAGAGGAAGAGACGACTTATGGGCGCGTCACAGGTATGAACCAGTAAGAAAGAAACGGGTGGTTAAAAACGATTGAATTATGGTGTATGACAGCTCATACGCGTGGGAGGGTTCTTGAAATTCTTGTTCTTCAATAAAAGGATATCGGCCAAAATTATGATCTTGGCTGAGATACTGAAAACCGATGTACTGGAAAAACGGAATGATATAGGTTCCATCACCTCAGAATACCGAGGTAATAGAACTTAGGGGGCAGTTGTGGGGATATATTTTTTGAGTACCAACACGTGGCAAGGTGACGCCGACGTGTCAGCCGAGGTGCCACATGTCCTGGTCGTGACGCCGAGGTGATCTCGGCAAGGCCGAGGTTATCTCCAAAGATATTGGAATCCGAGATAAGAGGATAAAAGAAAAGGGACAAGAATCCTAGAATAAAGAGGAGATTTAGCCAAGATAAGGATAAAGCTCTTAGAGAGTTTATCTTTATCTCTTGAGGAGTCCAAAGTAAGTAATGAATTGGAGTCCATAAAAGTGAAGCTTCTAGTGGGACTAGGATTAAGTAAACTATAAAAGAGAGGCACCTCCGTGGGTCTAAAGTACGCAATTTATGCTTTGAGCAGTAAGTTTAGCACTTGATTATTTTTGAGAGATATACTGACTTGATCGTCGGAGTGCCTTAGGGTGGAAGAGCCACCGCCGGAGCCTTTTTTTTCTGTTACAGGTTAACTGAAGCCATCTATTCTGCCGATGCTCTCTAGCTGATTACTAAACGGGCAGTGTGGTCAAAAAATCACTCACACAATTAAGATTATCTCTTAAGACATTTATCAAACAGTTGGTTTGCAACAAAAAGAGATGTTGGAAAATTAAAATAGAATTAACAGTAGAATTAGATAAAAACAACAAAACTTTGAGGATCATTTAGAGTTGAATCTCATACACACCTACATCCCTTGTTCATAATTGATTGATGATCACAAAATCTTTTTTTTAAGTGAATCAAAACAGAACCTACATTTTTTAAAAGGAAAAACATGACAAAACCCAATTTTTTTAGAAAATCATAACTAAAATTGTAATCAACCTCTATTGTAAACGAAATCTCATTTTTTTGAAAAAAGGAAATCAAACAAAAATGTGAGTGGTGGGGGTGAAATGAATGAATCAAAACAAATATCAAGCCTGCAAATGAATGTTGGAATGAATCAAAACGAAAAACAAACTTACCAGCGAAGAATCCAATCGAAAATGATGGAGGCGGCGACGACAGCTTGATTGGTTTACTGGTTTCTTGGTGCTTTGTTCTTTCCTTCGATCGTCTATGGAGGATTGGAGATTTAGGGATCTTGGAATTGGAGTGGAGTAAGAGTAGGAGTTGGAGTGAGAAATGTAAGTGTGGGATAAGAATCGCCGCCGATCTCACTTCGTCTCGCCGCCATCGTCCTCCTCAAAAGTCTCTCTGTTCTTACTCTTGAGTGGGTTAGGTATCTCAACTGAGAGAGAGAGAAGGGGGGGAAAAAAAGGCCAAAACGACGTCATTTTGGACTACAACAAGAACCACTGCAGGAAACCATGGCAGAGGATCCGGACTTGTAATGATGCATATTCTTATTCAACTATTATAAATATATACCTCTCTGTTCCAAAATAATGATTCTTTTTAAAAGTGTAGTACATGCACTAATTAATGTACTAATTAGTGTTGACATTATTATTGATCCCACTCATTAATCACATTACAAATACCAAAAATCTCTTAAACTATGCTACATCATCAATTGGTACACTAATTACTACACTAATTGGTATATATAACATTATTCTTTTGAAAAATTTAATTTTTTTAATAATATAATAATTATATTTTAAAAATATTAATTTTTTTAAATTACCCTTTGATAATATATTTTTTAAGAATATTAATTTTCATAATTTTACTTTTTATGTTATTAATGAATTTAAAAAAAATGTAAAATAATAAATTCCTATTATTTTTTCCTTGATTTTTGAAAAATGACTAATATTTTGAGACAATTAAAAATGAAATAAGAGACTAATATTTTAGAATGGAATAAGTACTAATTTTATTTTAGTTGATTTTTTTATATAAAAAATGTAAATTTAAAATTCTTAATTATAAAATATATTTAAATAAAATTAAGAGTGATTAGCTATTTTATAGTTAGAAATAGAAATTTTAAATGTGCAATTAGCTTCTCTTTTTTAAATGTGCAATAAGTTAATTCAAAATATTCTGTTAATTTTGTTCTTTAAGTCTTTTTTTTTTTAATTTTTAATAAAAATTTAGATTAAATTGTCACTATGTGAAAGGGTTTTAAATTTCGCACTTAAAATTTCATAATGCTTTTATTGTAAATACATTTTTGATAAAATTTATATTTTTTGAAATTAATAAAATCTTATTTTTGAAATTGGTTCTTTAAGTCTTTTTTTTTAATTTTTAATAAAAATTTAGATTAAATTGTCACTATGTGAAAGGGTTTTAAATTTCGCACTTAAAATTTCATAATGCTTTTATTGTAAATACATTTTTGATAAAATTTATATTTTTTGAAATTAATAAAATCTTATTTTTGAAATTGAACGAGATAAATATAAAATATGAACTAAAAATTTTCTTGATTAGATTATAAAAATATAAATTTTATGAAAAACATATACGTAACAAAAATTTTAAAAGTTCAAAATTTAAATAAATAAATAAATAAAATCATCTCACATTATTTATTTTATTTATGCGCATGTCATTTTTTAACTAATCTTTTGTTTGAGATGTTTTAAATAAGGAGTTTTCTTAAGTGTGCAAGTGCACACCATGTGCCACTTACACAAAAAGTGTAAGTGTAAGGTGTAAGTATAAGGTGTAAGTGTAAAGTGTAAGGTGTAAGTGGGTTGCACATGGTGTGCAACCTCAAAAAAGGTGTAAGTGTAAGGTTTAATTTTTTACAAAAGGTGTAAGTGTAAGGTATAAGGTGTAAGTTGCACACCATAACCAAACCCAATAAATAAATACACTTTTTGACTTTTTATGAAATATAGATTGAGTATAGATTGTGTTTAAAGTGATCTGGTAAAGAAGTAGTGTGACTTAAATAAAATGATGTAACTTAAATAGAATAATGACTTTTTAATTTTTTTAAAAGATGACAAACAAGGTATTGTCAGACTTATAAATAATCCCTCATTAATTAATTTAATTGGGTACGCTAAAACAATATAATGTACTCGACCATTTGATGTTTTTTGTAATTGACAATAAAATCTTTCTATTCACATTTAACTCATTTAGCTAAAATCAAATTTCCTAAAAAAAGTTCAAATTAACCAAACTTATTTATGGCAAGAGATCATTTCACTATTAGCTTTTTCTAGTCTTATTTTTAATTTTTAATTATTATTAAAAAAAAAAAAAAAAACCTTAGCTAAGCCTTAATTCCAGCAATCCAAAAAAGAGTAGCAGAAAAAAAACACTAGAATTAAAAGTCAAAATTTACAAATTAAACTTGATCACCAACACTAAAACCTCTATCAGCTGCATAATCTACAAAACTATAGAGTGGAACCACCTTCTCACCATACTTCTCAAACCCATCAAGTTCTCTCTTGGCCTTAGCCCTTAGTTCCGCAGCCACTTCCATTGCCTTTTCCACACCATACACTCCCACATAGCTCTTCCCCTTCTTCTTCTCCTCCTCATCTCTCTCCTCACTCTTCATCTTCTCTTCCAACACATCATCAACCACCTGATACAATACCCCAACAGCTCTTCCATACCTTCTCAGCCGTTGGATCTCATCATCCCCAGCTCCCGCCAAAAGACCGCCACACACGGCAGAGCACTCACCCATTTCGCCGTACTTCTTCTCTTGGACGAATTCGACCGAGTTGGGCCCGCCCTCGAGGTCGAGGAACTGGCCGGCGGCCATGCCAGTGGATCCCACGGCACGCGCGATCTCTGCGATGACGCGGAGGAGACGGGGCTCAGGGACTAGGTCTGTGGGAGTGTTGGAGACGATGTGGTGGAAGCCGAGAGGGAACAAGGCGTCACCGGCAAGGATTGCCATGTCTACGCCAAAGATCGTGTGGTTTGAGGGTTGTCCACGGCGTGATGGGTCATCGTCCATGCACGGCAAGTCATCGTGTATCAATGAAGCTGCATGAACCTATTTGATCATACAAACCACAAATGAAATACTATTTGCAGCAACAAACATTTTATCAAAATGATAGTAAGGGTTAATTATACTTTTCACCTTGTACTTTTATCCAAAATTCATTTTACTTTCTATAGTTTCAAATTAAACAATTTAATCCTTACAGTTTAAGCCCGTTTTCAATTTGATCCTGTCATCTAAATTTTCTCATTTTTTCTACATGTCACCTTAGAAAATTGACAAGTGTCCTAAAATTGTTTTAAATTTGGATTAAAGAACTAAATTAAAACTGAACTTAAATAGGACTACATTATTCAATTTGAAACCACAGACACTTAAATAAAATTTGCATCAAATTATAAAAATGAAAAGTGTAATTAATCCTAAAAGGACTAAATTATTCAATTTGAAACCACAGACACTTAAATAAAATTTGCATCAAATTATAAAGATGAAAAGTATAATTAATCCTAATAATAATAATAATAATAAAAAAATTGCAATAACAAAAACAATCGGACACATTATGAATTGAAATTTTAATTGCATCCATTTCAGTCTTCAGTATTTCATATTTGTGTCAGTATCAATTTGATTGAAATCAAATTAACAAGTGATTTTTTTATTTTATTTTTTGATAGGAGGAAATTAACAAGTGATTGAAAGGATTATTTTGTTAAACACTATCTAATTTTTTAATAAATATTATCAATTTTGAGTTAAATTGACATAACATGAAGAATTAAAAAGTAAAATTAATATAATTGAAAAAACAATGACCACATTAATACAATAAATAATTTACAAGTAAATTAGCCCAAAACAATTAGTTGTTACTTTGTCTCAGCCACTTTCTAAGCCATTTTATTTTGTGGCCCACTCGACATGGATAAATGTTGGGTCATTCGGAATAACGAAACATCTTCAACTCTCAACAAAGGGGTGTTTGAAATGTTTAAAATAAAGATAATGAATTATGTAGGGTCATTCGGAATAACGAAACATATTCAACTCTTAACAAAAATTGGGGTTTCCTTTGGTTTTAAAATTGAATTATGTTGGTGATTCTAAATAATTTATCAAATTTCCTACCAAATGTCACGAGAGGCATGTGGATTTACGTGGATCTCACACTCATATGGCGTAAGACTAGCAACACATGTGGATTTATGTGGATTCTACCACGAAATGTTTGATAAAAAATTTAATAATTTATTTAGGGTATTCTCCTTTAAAATCAGGTGAAGTACAGATTCAAATACCTTTAATCAAAACCATATTCATGGAAGATTCTTGCAACAGCTACAGCAAGAATATTTTTATGAGAGAGGTAAATAAATCACAAAATTAGATCTTCTACAATTCATTGGCAACAATTGAAAAATAAAAAATAATTTCCTAGGGTGAAATCAAAGTGAAAGGAGGGGTTTTAGATGAGATAAGAAGTGTGACCATTTCGAGAGCGCAGGCGGTGGGGAAGGCGGCGAGGCGGTTGCCGCCGAAGAGCTCGCAGGAGGCGACGCACATGACCGGAGGAGCACGTTTCGCACCATGAGCGAGAACAGAGTAACGCATGGCTTCGTAGATCTGCTGTGGGTACTTCACAGGCACGGCCTCATCTAGCTTCTGGTTGATTTCTTCTATCAGAGTCATCCAATAGGTTCGAAGATCGAATTTCGTCGACACTGACGATGATGGTGTTGATGATGAAGAAGAAGAAACAGAGCATCGAATTTTGGGATGCGAAATTGATCTGTTTCTTACAAGGTGGAATCGGGGAGACGATGATAGAACCATCGACAAAGCCATTTCAGAGATCTGTGTTTTTTTTTTTTTTGGTTGAAAAATTGGGAGAGCGTGTTAGTGGGACTTGGGGAGTGGAATGAGTATGATGATTGTGACGATGGATGAGAGAGACGAGAGGTGTTCAAGACTGCAGCCTCGTTTGGCGACCAAGCTTTTTAGATAAAAAGTTAAAAAGTTATTAAATTAGTCAAAAAATTAATAATTTATATCAAAAAGTTAAAGATTCTCTTTTTTCTCTACTTTTTGCACATCTTTCGTAAAAAGTTAAAAAGTCATCCCAAACATACTAGTTTTTTTTAGCTCATATTTTAGCCAAATAGTCAAAAAGTTACTAAATTAGCCTGTTCCCAAACTAGGCTTAAGGTCAAGTTGGCAAATTGTCAAAAAAAAAAAAAAAAAAAAAAAAAAAAATTAAAAAGTTACCTAAAAAGTTATCACTATTTATCAAAAGTCAAAAATTACGACTGCATAACTTTTAATTTTAATTTTTCTCTACACACTAATCTATACAATTTTTAATACATATTTTTTCATAAAAAGTCAAAAAGTTAACCCAAATATCCATATTTTTTTCCTTAATTTTTTAGTTTAAAAAGACAAAAAGTACACCTATTTAAGACATTCCAAACAACCCCTAACCTCTGTTTAGGAAGTGGATTGACTTTTTGACTTTTTGATTTTTTTGATTATTTTAACCTGAACTGAAAAGTTTGATTTATGAAGGATTTTTTGGTTTTTTGACTTTTTTTGTGAAAGAATAATGTAATAATTATGGGTTGGATGTGATATTTTATTTGTTGTGACTAAAATAACTTATTTTGTCTTTTGTGACTATTTTAGTCACAAACCAACTTGCCAAACAACACCTAAGCTTTGTTTGGAAAGTGATATTAAGTAATAATTTTTTTTTTTTTTTTTACTTTTTAATTTGGGGTTAAAAAGTTTGTTTGATTTAATTTTTTTTTTATAAGAGAAAAAAAATAAAATAATTATATTTTAAATGCAATAATTTATCTTATTAATTTTTTAATTTATTTTATCTTTTTGTGATTAAAAAAGTCACCAACTTTATTTTAGTCCATTGCCAAATGACACCTAAGGCTTTGTTTGGGAATTACATATTTTAGTCAAAAAATTATTATAAATTGTTATATCATTATCTATTTTTTTATATAATTTTTTTATAAAAAATTAAAAAATTATTTAATAATTTGTTCCTAAATCAGACCTATCAAGAGATGATAGTGGGTGGAGTGGAGAACAAAAATTACAAAAATATGGGATGTAAACCAATTTGTAGTAGGGTGTAGGTGTAAAGCTGTGAGGTGCAAGTGTGCAAGTTTCACTTACACCCCCTCCATGTTTGTTTGTTTTTTTTGGTAATTCTATTTACATATCAATAATATTTTCAATACACATTATTACTTAATATATATATAAAATAATTTTTAGAGTTTAAAAACATCTTAATTAACACCTTAACTTTGATTACTAACTATATTAACGCATCACTAACTATTTGAATACACATGCAAAAAACTCTTCACCTTTACTATTACAAAATCCCCTCACAATTTTCAAAGCAAAAACCATCTTTGTCGGTCTTAATTTTCATCATCGGTGGTGGTTTCATTCAGCCTCCATCTTCACTGGTGTTAACCTTCATAGTTGGTGTTGAACTATCGTCGTGTCTCGTCTCGTCGTTTCAGATCGTGGAGTGTTTCATTCGACCTCCATGTTCGTCGGTGTTCATCTTGAAACATGTAACAAATTTATTTTTTGTAGTCAACAACACAATCAGTTTCAACATTGCTATATTGGGGGAGTATAGAATTTTGTAAAAAAAAATTAACAACAAATTAGTCATATTCATGAACACAGAGTTTAACAAACTGAATATGTTTAAAATTTTATATTTGAACAAAGAATAAAATTTTAATTTATTTTAACCGAACTAATTTAAAATGTTTAATTTTTTTATATATATAAACATTTAATATTTGGTAAATCTTAATAATTTGAACAAAATTATTTTGTTTAAATATTAATAATCGAATATTATGTAAAAACAACTCCAGTTTATCCGAATACAATGAATAAACTCATTTTCTTAACATATAAACGAGATAAATAAAAAAAAATAAAAGCAAAGTCATAAACTAACATTTTCAATGTTCAAATTAACATTTTCAACGTTTATATCAGAACCAACCATCTCAATGTCATCCATGGTGTGTAAATTTTCAAAACTATTTTATTTCTATATTCTTAAACCCTAAATCTTTAAAGATAATAATGTTTTGAGTTCGAAAAATATGTATAATAGAGAAGAGAATGAAATAAGTTAATTGATAATGAATAATATCATGAATGTATGTTAATGGTGAATATGATGAAAAAATACAATGTTTATATGTTAAAATCATATACCATATATGGATGATAGTGTGTGAAGAATATTTTGTGTTTTTAAATATAAAATTTTTGAATAGATAAAATACATCCCATGTTATCCTTAATAATCATTTTATTTGAAGATATTATTAGAATATAAATTTAATTGGTTAATAGTGTGTATTAAAAAGATTAATAGGGTATAAATAGAATTTCCCATTTTATTTTTCTCTGTTCAACTGTGATGTAATTTTTCCATAAAAAAATTTGTGCTTTTGGGTGCACATATAGATTCGTGCTAGGATGAATTTCCACCCGTTTGATTTTATCCAAAGAGGTTTTTTTTTATTTCAGCTATATTTGGTTCATGAATTTGATTTGGTTACATTTCACATATTTTTTTTCTTTTTCTTTTTCTTTTTAAATCTTTCCTAAAATTTATTAACCCAACATAGTCTTAATGATTCAAATTATTTATTTATTTTTAAAAGTAAATTTCATGTAAATCATATATGTAAAAAAAACTATTAATTGAATTCAATTTTTACATGATTGATTACAATTGTTTTACAAAAAATTGAAAATAAATTAGCTTGTTTGGCTTTAGGATTCACTTTTTAACAAATTAAAATTTTTTGTTTTGTTTTTTTTTTTTTGTTTTCACTGAATTTTTTAATATTTTAAACAATTTTTAAAATTTGTAAATACACCTAACATAAATACATTTAAAAAGTATAATATTTGTAAAAATAATAATAAAAAAATTACTAACTATCAAATACAAAAAATATATATGAGAATCTAGTATATTTTTATATTCTTGTGTATTTATTGATTTTTTAAATATTTTTTTATAAATATTTTATTTTTAGATAAGTGCATCTAAAAAAATATAAAAAACTACTTAAAATTTTAAAAATACTCACTAAAAACAAAAATAAAAAATTAATTTCTAAAAAATTGAATTTAAAGATTAAAATTAAATACAGTAAATATAATTTTAAAAATAAATTATCATTATTTTTTAAATAAATATGATCTAAACATGACTACTAAAGTCCAATCAATCTATTTTTTAAAATATCTGACTATTTTGAGAGGTTAGAAGTTGAATGGATTGGATTAGCTTAGTGTCACCACCCTAAACCTAGTCCAAATAGGTTATTTCAAGATAAAGGTCATTAACAAATTAAGTTATTCCAGCTCGAATTATTTTAACTCATTAAAAATTTTATTTAAATTTCACTTATTTTGTTAATAAGTAAAATAGGAGTACACTTTTAAATTTGTTAAATTTTTAAACCAAGTTCGAAAAACTTACTACTTGACTCAAATAAACTTATATATTCAATAAAAATACATATTACTCAAACTCGACTAGTGTTTGGACTTGTTAAAATTCGTTCAAGCTTAGCTCATTATCTAAATAACTAAAGCTTAAATATAATTTTAAAGTCGTTAAATTTTTAAGTTAAATTTTAACAACTTATTACTCAACTTAACTTGACTCATTTATGAGTGGCTCAACAATCTCCCAACCCCTGTCCCCTCTTTTTATTTGCAAAACGATAAGAACAAAAAGAGTTTTTCAAGGGCAAGGCTCGAGACAAAAGAACAGTATGATACAGTTCTTTTCAGTATAAGCATAGGACATGAAATGATACAATAATTTTATGTAGTATGAATACAATTTTTTTTAGTATAAGCATAGAATATAATATAATTTTGTGCATGGACTGTTGAGAGCGAATTATATGTGCCAAATGTGAAACACGAGGCCCAACGCAAATCACATTGCTCAAATCGTACAATCAATGATCCAAAATTTCAAAGCCGATTCTCACTTACTCTGCAAATTCAACGAGAGTGTCCCAAATGTTATGGTTAGAACTTTACAAGGCTTCGTACTCTTGGGGTTCATTATTATGAAAATAGGCATCCAGGCCCTACCCAGAACAATGAGGGGTTACGTCTGGACTCTTGGGATTTTATTTGACTATTATAATCATGACAATTTTTTCAACAATACTTACAAATTAGACTTGGTATTTGTTTAGCATGTGTTAAAATAGCACATATTATTTTAACACATTCTATTTGGAGAGTAATTATTCATATCATATCATCTCTTTACCACATCACTTCAAACACAACTCATATCCGTAAAAAATAAAAAAATATGCTAACCTAACACTTCCTAAACAATCCCTCAATTACCTAAAATTATCAAAAATCTAGTTGTCACCAAAAACACCTACCCAGAATTACCAAGAACCTGTGTTGTTATCTCCAGACTCTCAGACATTTCCGCTTTCCCAGACCTCTTCCAACTTCTTTTATGGATAAAATTGTGTTCCATTATGTTGTGATTAATTGGGAGATTTGAAGAGAAAGTTAAAAAAAATAAGAAAAAAAAAAGTGTAAAACTATATAAAATATCAACATTTTTTTTTCACATTTCATTTACTTTTTTTATTTCTCTTTTTAAATCCCCTCATATTCCTCAACCAAATACAATATCTCCTCAAATCCTTCAACCAAAATACAATATTTAAATTAAACACAATATTAAAATTAGAATTGGACAGGGCTCAAGTTGGGCCTATTTTTCTTAATTTTAGTCTCGTGCATGGGCCTAAGAAAGTTTAAAATTTTAGTCTTCTGCATGGGCCTAAGAATGTTTAAAAATTTTTGAAACTAGGTAATTGTAGGGCTTTTAACCCTGGGTTAGAGGGAGGCCCTTCCAGAAATTCTCAAAGACCTGGGCGAAACCCAGGCCAATGAGGGGGTTTGGAAATAGTTTTCAACCAGCAATTGACGCGCCTCGGTTATTACCTCACTAGCTGCGTCATTGCCCCAAGCGCAAAGATACCTAACTGACTCTCTGCTTCCTCTTCTTATACTAAGATTTGTGTCAAAGTCCACTGTCTCATAAACCGATGTGGGACTTTATTATTTGTTATCAAACCAAATATTCATGAAATTCTTGTGATTTTGATTTAAAAATAATCTCCTTTGGGTGACTAATCCACCAGTAATATCCACAGTGCATACAATCCCCTACTAACCCAAAATGGGCAAATTCCATATTTCCTGTACTTTTAACATTTATTTTCAACCCGAGCTTATTCCCAAGTAAAAATAAAATGAGAACAAACCACATAAACCATTACTGTTTAGTTAAATCACTGAAATAAGTAGTAAGTAGCAAGACTGTAAAAATTCCCATCTAATTTCACATTCAGCTATCCATAACCCCATTCCAAGGAATTCGAACTTGAAGGAAGGATTGCATGTAACCACATACAACCAAAACCATCAAGGGAAGCCTTGAAAATTACAAGCAAAGCCCAAAAATGAAACAGCTGTTACTTCAGTTTTGACTGTAAGGGACCGACCCATACAGGGTAAGCCGCTCTTAGAATTAAGGAAAAAACCCTTACAAAATTTTAGACTCAGAACTATAGGGTACCAACCCTTTATCGGGAAGGAACCCTCCAAAAATAGGCGTATGCCGCTATTTGCGGCGAGCACACGGTATTCTTTAGTAAAAGGCGAAAGAATAGTTCGCTTTGTGCTCACCGCGCGGCTGCGTGCCTTTACTCTACCCCCTCTCCTCGTGTTTCAACTAAGTTCGTGACTCTCTGTTTCATCAGTTACTCGGTGTGGGACTCAAAAGCAACTTCTTCTATTTCGCTTCTTGCTATCTCTGCTTCTTCTTCCAGCACCCCCTTTTCATCTTCGATACTCAAAAATTCTGCCTGTGCTAACTCAGAATAGATTGATTTTTGGTTTCATTTGGGTTGGGACGAACAGTTTCAAGAATTATTTAAGAAAAAAACACAGAGGAATGTATATATAATGGAATTGAGTTTCAGAAAGATCCTCACAGAAGGGGAACAAATGACCAATAGTAGGTTTAGAACCAAAATGTCATTAATAAAAACAAATCATAAAGACACAACACAATACAGATACAGACTTCACTCTCATGCATCGAAACGTTGAGAGACGAAAGCACAAGTAACGTTAAGGATAAGCCTCAATAATGGATTGAACGGCTTTGATGCGCTTTACGGTGTATCGGGTGAATCCAGCCTCAGTCAGAAGGTTTACCCATTCCTTCAAAGTCCTCTCTTTTCCCTTGTTAGTATGAGCCATCATCACCATGTCCAACATCAACCTCACATACTCAAGCTTGTCTCCCTCCTCTTCTTCCATCACGGCTTCCGCAATGATCACCTTCCCTTTGTCTTTTGGAATTGCTTCTCTACATTTTCTCAGTATATGGATGCACTCCTCGTCTCCCCAATCATGCAGAACCCACTGCAATTTGAAAGATTAAACAATGAATATTGATCTTAGTAAGGCTTCTCCCAGGATAAAACAAATTAGATACTAATAGAAAATAAAACAAAAAATTATTTTACTTCTTTTTTGGTGAGAACCGGGTTTTATGTTTATATAACGACGCTCAAAACGCGATCAGGATGTCACACGAAGACAAGTCCTATTTTTATAAAGCTTGAACATGCTCACCATGAGGAATGCAGCATCAGCTTTGGGAATACTGTCAAACATGTCACCCCCAACATGCTCAACACCAACAACAGAGTCTAAATTATCAGATACCACATGAGGGAGATCGAAATTTATGCCCCTAATCCAAGGACAAGCCTTAACCAACATACACAGAGTCGTCCCATCCCCACCACCTACGTCCACCAAAGACTCCAGCCCATGAAACAACTCAGGGCAGCCATCAATTATCGCTGGCACTGCCACCCTTGCATCACAAGCCATCGCATCGTTGATACGCTTGCTATGGGCAGGACTTGTAGCGGCATAGCTCCACACATCCTCTCCATGAGCTGCCTCAAATGCTGAACTCCCATTGGCTAGAACACGGGCACTTAGACCGTGCCACGGTGCTAGCATCACTGGACTGCTCTCTAGCAGCACAAAAGCAGCCATGCTTTGCTCTCCATTTTTTGTCAAAAGGCGGGAAAGCGGTGTTTGAACGTAACACGTGGAAGCTTGGTTTGTGGATTTCTGTTTTTTGAATATTTGGCGATGCACTAAGAACCGCATGATGCGGTGGAGGGCTGGCAGAGAGCATCCAGTGCTGGAGGAGAGCTCGGAGAGTGTCATGGGGGTTTTATGGCTTTCTAGGACGTCTGCTATGCCAAGCTCAATGGCACATTTTACCACAGCCATGTCAACATACCCAAATACGTACTTCCATATATCCACCTTGGCTTGTGCTTCTTCTTCCATTTTTGATTCTCCATCCATCTCTCTCTCTCTCTCTCTCTCTCTCTCTCTTTGTGCACAAACACACTCTGGAGGTGTAGTCAATCTTATATTAGCTATTTTTGAACCTGTATTGTAGTCTTCAAGATCAACGTTTAATTATAATAAGAAAAGTGGACCTTTCTATTGGCACTTAAATATCCTGTTTTGAGTGTTCCAAATATCAAGAAAAGCTCGGATAGCCTTGGGTGTGTGTGTGAGTATTTAATTGCCACGGGAATCCTTTGTAGTCAGCAATTGCCTACAAAGTGTCTTCTCGTGGGCGCCAGTTCAAAAAAAAAATATCAAGGAAAGCACTTCAATTGGGCAGATTTTATTTGATACATGTGGATACTGACAGCTTGCCCGCGACACCAAACAAGCATATATCACGTTAATTAGAAGCTTATCCAAAGTAGAGGGGTGTTTCATTCATATTTAACTTTTAGTTCTTTTTTTTTTTCTCCACATTTTTTTTATATGAAATCATGTATAAATACTCAAAAGTATTTATAAATACGCTCAATTACACCATATATAAATACACTCAACCACACCATATGTAAATACTCTTGATGAATCTCATTGGAATTGGATTTATAAAATTTTAGTAACAATCCTTCGAAACAATGGCATCGTAGTCTACGATATTGTAATTTAAAATTAAAAGATCCTAATATAATAATTATGATAAAACCAGTGATCTATACCCGCCAAGATATAGATGAATTCGAAATTCAAACTAATGAACTTTTTGAGAAAAATCTCATTGAAGTAACCACTAGTCCTCATTCATGTCCTGCATAATCATGTAGAAATTAAAAGTGAAAAAAGCCAAAATGGTAGTTAATTATAAAAGACTTAATGAACATATAAAATTTGATGGGCCACGAAAAGATATTTTGATAAACTTAACCCAAGGATCAAAAGTCTTTAGTAAATTTGATTGTAAGTCGAGATATTGGCAATTACAATTAACAAAAAAGTCAAGACCATTAACTGCCTTCAGTACTTGTCCCGACCCAAATTCGGTACCCAGAGGTTAGGTATCGCGATAGGACAAAAACATAGGTCAATACCAAAATGTATCAGATTAAAACATAACAGAATAAAATAAAGGAGTACCCAAATATTTATATAATCAAAACTATACATTGGAGCTTTTATTTATTTCCATTGCCAAAGCTAAAATTATGGTTATAAAGTGCCTATGTCTACCCAAGCTCTGGTTTAACTACACCAACATACGGACAAGGGAACAAGTCCCTTCTTAAGATTCATCATCTAAAAGTGGTTAATAACGATAAATGCATGGCAGAGTGAACAGTATTATACTTAGAGTATGAAGGTATAAAAATCGTCATGGATAATTATTTGGGCTAAATAGAGATTTGTTCGATAATAGAAATACATAAATCCATTTAAATAATAAAAGCATAACACATAAATTATATAAGCAAATAATCATAACCACGGTACAGAACAAAATAGATGTATGGACTCAAGAGATAGCTCGTACGAATTTTAGAGATGGCTCCCACAATAGTGTAGCACTTAGCTTTATACAACACTTTACTCCACACCATAAATCAGAGGGTTAGTGGACTATGACAAACAGAGAGTCACATAAAGTGACAATTCAGATGGCCAATGGATATTAAAGTCCCCCAAAGACATGGGACCCTGTGGTGGTATTTACAAAATAATTATTCAAAAATACATTTAATAAACAGTTTTATCCATGGGTTTCCCTTTGTAGCAAATGGGGTTCATTTAACAAATTACATATTTAAAAACTAATATAATTCGCAAAATAGATTTTACATAAAATAGTTTATGATAACTCAAAATATAATAAAACTCACCTCAAAATCGATACTTTACATTTATAGGTGAGAAAACCATTACTATTCAACATTATGTAGTATTATGCAGCACTATGCAGCCATGTGGTCCAAATGGCTTGCCATGCCATCCACGAGGTTTCTTGATTCAATCAACAAGCATGGGTCCTATATTCTACTATGGCCCAAAAAATGTTATATTTTTATTTTTTTTTAAAGATTAAGTAAATATATTTTGGGGTGTCACAGTACTCCAAGAGGACATTACCATTGGAATGTAACGTCATTTGGATTAAATACTACATCACAAATCTTTCAAAGATTGATGGATTCTATTTTTAATGAACTTAAAAATGTTTGTGTAGTATATATAGATAACATTCTTATTTTTTCCAAATCATTGGAAGAACACAAGAATCATCTTAGGCAATTATGTAATAAATTCCAAAAATGTGGAATTATTCTCTTTCTTGAAAAGATAAAGGTAGAAAAAGAAGAAATAGAGTTTTTTAAATTAATCCTTACATCAACATGATTAAAATTATAAGAACATATTATTTTAAAAGTATAAGAATTTCCAGATGAATTAACTGAAGTAAAATAACTTCAAAGTTTTTTAGGAATTCTTAATTATGGGAGAAATTACGTCAAAAATCTAGCAAAATTAGAACTTCCCTTATTAGCAAAATTAAAGAAAGATGTACAATTTTACTGATTAAAAGAGGATACTAATTTAATTAAACAAATTAAAAAAATGTACTACGGCCATGCCTATAGTTTATTTACCTAAAAAATGAGATAAACTTATTTTTGAAACGGACGTCTCAGATTTATGTTGGGGATGCGTATTAAAAGTAGTACCTTCTCAAATCTGGATCAAGTCTGAAGAAACAAATAGTTATGGAATTAAAAATAGGAAAAAACCTATTTCCAAAAAAACTCAGAAACATGAATTAATTTGTGGATAAAATTATGACAAATTTAAATCCGTTGTAACAAGATAAATTATTTTTTAAATAGAACTTTTAGCAATTAAACTTGCTTTAAAAATATTCCATATATATCTTGCTCCTAAATGCTTTATTGTTAGAATAGACAACCAAGCAGTTAAATATTTTTTAGTTAACAAGAAAAACTTTGAAGAAGGCCACCGACTTCGATGGTATAATGAAATTGCTACATGTACTTTTGAAGTTGAACATTTGAAAGGAACTAAATTTATTTATTTATTTATTTTTATTGCAGATTTTTTAAGCAAAAATTACTAAACCAGTGTTTTCTCTTCTCAACCATGAACAAGGGTAAACAGCCCGCTGAGTCTGACAAAAAATAGGTGACAATTGCTAAAAAAGCAATCCCCAAAATAGAAAAAGTTTATGTTGTTTTTTTAGGTAAACAACCTGGAATTTACACAAATTAAAAAGATTGCAATGCGCAAGTTGTAGGATTCCCTAGAGCTTACTATCAAGCATATGACCGTATGACAAAAGCTAAAATGGCTTTCTATAGTGCTCCATCAATTCCTATTTTTCAGCAGCAACAAACTAATTTAGTCCCTTTTGAATTTCAAAAATCTACACCAGATGAATCTGAAATTAAAGACTTTTTTAGTCCTGGTATTCCCAGAAAAATTTATAATGACTTAAATGGTGTGTAGAAACCCCACATTTCCGAAAACCAAAAAGGTTTTAGATTACATATGTCTAGTTTATGATTTCAATTAGTGGAACAAACCACTCGAATAAATAAGTGACAAAAACTTTGTTTCCAATTCATTAGACAAATGAATTGGGATCAAGATTTTAAATTTGAAAAAATAAATACTTTTCTTAAAATTTCTGAATTCATAAATCATGAATATTTAGATCCCTCTTTCAAAACAATTAGAAGAATTTGTCTTTTTGAAAAAGTAAGAACAATTATTCCCTATGAAATTTTTAGACTTCTTAAAGATAAAGTAGAAGACCATTGTGAAAGAATTAAACAATTTTTTTTCCAAATCAATTAATAAGATTAATTTACAAGATGATATTGGGCCTGTTTGGGAAGTGTGCTAAAATTCACAAAAAGACAAAATAGGCTAAAACAGATAATGAAACAAAATGTCACATCAAATCCATAATCATTTTATTGTTTCTCTCACAAACATCACATCCAACTAAAAAAAAATCCAATTATCTTCCCAAACACAAAAATTTAGCCTACTAAAATAGTCAAAAACTAAAATAGCCTACTAAAATAGCAACTTCCCAAACACCCACATTATAAAAAGGAAAATTATTCAATATTCTTGGAGTACCACGTGTTTGTATTTCCTAACCAATCATCATTCAATATGCCCTCTCGTGTATCCCCAGTCACCCAACACAATACTCCACCTACCTACATTCTCCACCAATCATAATACTATAGAATATCACGCATCCATACTCCGAGATTAATGAATAATTACCCTTATAAAAACCACATTATTCTTAGATACCCAAGAATGGTTTTATGAGGATAATGATTAGAAGGTCTTTGAAGAAATTAACTAGAGAATAGCTAATCAAGTTATTCTTCAAAGTTCACATCCAATATAATGGAAAGATTTTCCAGAGATGATCAAAGCAATATTCTCAAAAATAATAAAAAATTACAAATTGAGCAAATATTTCACTTTTTGAATTGCCAACACCATTGAATGGCATGAAAGGGAAAAATTATATTAGGCATACCAAATTTGGTACTTGAAAAAGACTAAAGAATTAGAATTAGCTCATGATGGACCATTAATAAATTCAAAGGGACAGGTTGTTAATCATCATGAACTAATTAATGTCTAATGTCCTAAACATTATTGGGTAAAAAGCTTGATATTGTTGTTCCAAGTGGCACAAAGCATAAAAAGTCATAGTAGATTGCCTTTCATCATAACTGATAGAAGAAGACTATTTGTTATTATAGAACCAATTTCATATACAAGCACTGCTAAACAACAAAGTGAAGCAGAAGATTTTCTCAACAATTTGACAAAAAGAGATTTGCTAGATCTTTCTTTAGATTTGGCAATACAAGCAGATGAAGTGGAAGCTTTCAGAACACATAAATGGAGTCAACCACAAGATTCTCCATTATTTGAAGATAGTGTCTTCATGCACAATCTAGACAATATGATAGATGCATAGTGGGGCCATGAAGACAGATTGCAGATATACCGGATCGACTGCATCCTTATCTAGCACATGTGGTAACATCTGCAGCAACAATAAAATTATAAGATTAGCCAAATTTTATCCAAAATAATTTCCCTTTTTTCAAAAACGAGGGAGGGGGACTGCATATGTATTTACTAGT